ATCTCCTCAAAACTGTCGGCACCAGTCATGAAACTCTCATAGCATTTTATGGTGTAGTCCAAAAACAACTGATTGAATTAAGCAGATTTAAAAACAAAGCCATGATTCTTTAGTCTGTTTCATTTTTCTATGTGGAAATTTAAATTTGAATTAAAAAAATAAGTCAGGAATACTACGTGGCTATATGAACTGCTATAAATGAGACACAAACCTAGGGTATATCATTAATTATGCTGCACAGACTTACTCAGTCTGCTACTTCTAATGTGAATCCTGAGGATGAAAACAACACTTAAATTAGGATAACGGTGATATTTAGTACACAGTAAAGAAACCATATCTTCAGAATTTTGAGAAGGTCAAACAAGAAAGCTTATTAATAAATATAATTTAACCTAAAATATACAAACTTAATTATCTTTAGGGATAATCTACTTTATGAAAAATTTAAATGAATCATTTATCATATAAGTCCAATTAAACTGACAAGGTCTAGTTATGAAAAACAGAACATAATTAATAAGGCTATAATTATATAATTTCAGGCTACAAAATGGCACAATTAGTAGAGATCTAAATAGAATACCATCATTCTTAATATTTATCCAGGAGAAAGTAACACTATACTTTGCAGTTATCAGTTGTTTTGGTTACTGAGGATGCATATTTTGTCAGGCAGCAAGGATGGCTGATCACAATTTTCCATAGCCTAGATGAAGTAAATATCCCTTAAGACAAACCAATTCCCTTTGCACTGATTCTCTCTGTACTAAGCAAACTTCTTAATACTTGGTTGACATGGAAGGAGTATTCTGAAGAGGCAGAATGTGTATTCCTGTAACTGGAAGAGTGTACCACTGGTAGTAAATTAATACATTTTCATTCGACTTTAGATCAGTCTCTTGTGAATTTGATAACAGTGAATCAGTTTCCTTAAGCTTGGTCAATTTTGATTTTGTGATTAAAAAAAATGAGTTTCTGGATGCACAAAGCTGAAGATAAGAATCTGGTGAAATTGGGTATTTTGATAACTCTTTAATTAAAAATAGCACTTTGTAGTTACCAAAGTGCTTCTCTACATTTCGTCATCTGAAATAGCTAAAATAGCAAGAATAACTTTTTCTGCTTTAACTTTCAAAATGAATGTCAAAAATTTAACATTTAATAGGTGTTGTAATTATATTTGGATGGAAACGTAAGTACAAATAAGTCTAGTCCGGTACACACATTGCAACACGATAATTTTCTTTCTAGCTCCAGCAGGGATCATAGCTGAAGCAGTAAAGGGGCATGGTTAGTTTTTAAGAAAAAAAAAAGCCATGATATCATGTCAGTCAGTGGATACATCTTTGAACTATTTCCCAGGTAGTAATAAAAGATGAAAATAAAAGGTGATATAGCTGTTTACGCTTGAAAGTGATGTTTATAATTACAAGCTAAAAGTTACTTTCACTTTCTTTTTTATGAAAGAGTGAAGATTAGAATTAGAGCAGATAATAGTTTTTCTTCTTAGGGACCTGCATGGTAATAGGTCTTTTACATGTGGTAGGGGATATTAATGTTTAATCTCAACATTATAAATTCATTCCTTAGAGTTGGTGTTTGCTCCATTTGGATTTATGAATTTGTGTATTTTAGGAAATAGGGTGGGGTTAAGTTACATAGTTTGGGCTTGAATAAAGCGTGGCTTGGGAACCAATTTAGACCCTTTACTTTTGGAAGTGGTAACTCTGATCTAAGTGGCAATATGCCTAACTAAAAAGACCAAAACAGACCAACAAAAAAAGTCCTACATGCAGTATTTTAAAACGCACTCTATTATGCTTTATATTGACAAAGAATTACATTAAAATAATGTTGTACTGATATCTTCACTCTAAAAGACAGTAGAGGAAAAGAAATGTTATAAGTATACGAAGTGTGATAAAAAATATTGGGAATGTTTAAATTTTTAAAAATTACAGTAAAAGACACAGTGCCATTAATCCCCCTCAAAATACTCCCCCTGGCTTCCAAAACACTTATCCCATCATTCTTGCCACTTTCTGAAGGAGTTCTGGAAGTCCTCTTTTGTGAGTGTCTTTAGTTGTGCTGTTGTGGCTGCTTTGATATCCTGAATCAATTCAAAACGTTTTCCTTTCATGGTCATTGTCATATCCCGCATGACAAAGGCAGTGAGAGAACAAGGGGGGGGGGGAAGGCGAAGGGTTAAGAAAGAAAAGAAACAGCTGCCAAGAGTTCAATGAGAGTGGGGCCAAGGGTCTTCTGCCTCACAGGACTAAGAGCCCCAATCAGGCCAACACAGTTTTTATTTCTCCACATACCCGGAAATAGCATTGTTCTCTCCACAGTCTGAGTTTCATTTCTGAGAACTTGCTCATGAACAGATTACCCATGCCTGCAAGCTGCTATTACCGAAAGTCCGCCTGCATGACCAGAGAAATGCTCTGCCTTCACATACCCATACACATATGACCCCGGGGAGATAAGATTATTATGCTGAGGACAGATGCTATCACATCATCAGGTCACTTCCCAAGCAGGTTGCGGGAAGGAATGTTGCTACAGAGGTAGAAGACCTCCAGTCTCTTTAGGGGGCGGGTGAGGATCTATGCCCACCTCCATCAGCCCCGAGATTTCTCCTGATGACCCTCATGCAACTGTGCCTGTCTTAGATTGTTCCTTCCTCGAGAAATCTTACCCGTCATTGACTAACCAGCCATCTTTTAGGGCCAAACAGGGAGACGCAAGATGTATGAGCAGTGTCCTCAAAAGGGTTGGTTTAGGGGTAAGCGGGGAGGAGGACAGACGGCTGGACAGCTGCGTGGCAACAGTCATTTTGACTTCGGGGAAGAACCGTAAGTTGCATAGTGCCAGATGCGGTGAATAAGGCAGATGAAGATACACTGTAATGTTTTTATTTGACAGAAACTGCTGTACTAGAAACGATGTGTGACACAGAGCATTGTCATGACGGAGGATGAAGTAAAGACACTCACAAAAGAGGATTCCAGAACTGCTTAAGAAAGTGGCAAGAACAATGGGATAAGTGTGTTCGAAGTGAGGGGGAGTATTTTGAGGGGTATTAATGGCAATGTGTCTTTTAGTGTAATAAATTTTATTTAAACATTTATCGTATCTTTTGATCACACCTCATACATTAACATGTCATGACTTAATTCCAATTGCCTTGTATTTTTTACTTAGTTAACATTTTCAAATTTCCATGCCTAGTTAATTTCAGGAAATTACAATGTGACTCCAAGAGTAAATCCATTTCCTACCATTTTAAAAAATTAATTTTAGAAAATTTTCAAGAAACAAAAACACAAGCTCTACAAAAGAATATGAGTATGTTAATTTTGATAGTGACACATTTAGTTAATATCAAGATAATGCTAATGTTTATAGCAATGTAAGGTACCTTATTATACATAATTCCATCTTCAGTTTCTTCTCCCCAAGGCTGTCCATCATCAAATAAAGGTGAACTTTCTTTCATGGCAGTATGTAACTAATTAGTACACAAATAACATATTAGTTTATGAGAAAAACATATAGTTTTCATGTTTTGTCAATTGTTTTTAATGTCATTTTTAGAAGCATTTACATTACCACATGACTGAAAGTCTCTTCAGAGGCTATTCTATTGAGCCTTAAAATATAATCCCCTTTTGATATTTTAGTAACTAAATCCCTTAGGATTAAAAAAGGATGGGTTCCATATTTAGTTCTATTCTATAGAAAAAAATATGCCAATCTTTATACTATTATCCTGTTGAGAGCATATACACACATTTTAATGCAACTCTGAAGATCTAAAACAGAAATGCCATGTAAAAGCTGAACCAACAATTATTTCTCTTCTACATGAACTCTATTTTGGTGCTCAAATGTTATCAACTGACTCCTTTAGTATGTATAAATACGAAATTCGGATTGAATTTTACAGCATAAAATTTTCAGAAATACAACTGTTTAAGCTTGAAAATGATTACAGATTATAAATTAGCAAAATATTCAGGTGTTTATAATTTACAAGCTAAAAGAAAAATGGCTAGAGGTTTTAAAAGCATAGAAATTCCATTTGGAATACTGTTTTTATAATTTGTTTTAAAAATATAACCTTTAAAAATGAAAAAAAATTAGAAAATTTAAATGAAATTGCTATACAATGTAAAGATATAAATACATATCTAGTATAATGAACATTAAGCTTCTAAGAAAAGGACTATACATTAGGCATGTATAAGAAGAATGTGGTTTCTACTAAAAATATTTCATTCAATTTTCTTATCCTAGGGCCCATATATAGAATTCTTGAGTAGGGAGTCTCTCATTGCTTCTTAAATTGCTATAGTGTTCAGTTCCACCACTTCAAGCAAACCAAAATAGGAAGGAGAGTTCAACTTATATAATGGATTTGGAGGCATCTCAAGAGCTCCCTTGCCAACAGAAGCCACAACAGGAGCTCCTGTATTACTGTGAAAATGCTACTTCCCAACCACATAACAATGACATCAGCTGCTTTGGCAAACAAAGGTAAAGTGTCTTAGTGACAACAAGGGTATTTGGTGGTAGGAGCAGAGGTGGTTACACAATGTCCATGGGTATCACTGAGGAGAGCAAATTGAATATATAAATACTATATATAAAGTTCAATAAAACTCCAGTTGTATTAATGGACTATGGTATTGGATTTCTACTCTTATCTTAACAATTGGTAGTGTTGAATATATCAGGTGTCTCCTGGGTCAAAATCCATTACCCAGTCCGTCTCACACATTTAGTTAAGGGCTAGCTGATGGCCAAGAGAATGTTAGGGGGACAATAACAGTTTTAAGGATTCCAACAATAAATAAGGCAGGAAACCCAGAATATAAAAGGAAGAGACTGCAGTAGACTAGGTAAAAATTTATGCTTAACAGTCAAAATATACCACATAAATCAAAAAGAAAGAGAAAATATTTGCACCACATACATAAGAGCTAATTTCTCCAATTTGACTATTTTTTTGATGTACAAAATGGTACTCTCTCAAATCAATAAGGAAAAAAGTCAAAAGACATGAACAGGCAGTTAATAATCAATGTGAAAAATATTCAAGTTTCAAAACAAAAAAATGGAAGTATGAAAAAGTTATGTATTATGTTTTGCTTGTCATGTCAATTATTAAAACACCATAAGCTTAATTACTATATAAAGAATTCAATATATAAAGGTTCAAATAGCAGAAACAAATGAAATATAAAATGGGCCAAAAAAGTATGCACAAACAAGTTAAAAGAAATATCAATGATAAACCATATAAAAACATAATTGCTTTAGTAATATGTATATTAAATCAAGATATCTTTCACCTTCCAAATGGGTGAAGATTTTAACAATGCCTATGGTATGGGAAAATGGGTGTGCTCATACATAATTGAGGAGCTTTTAACTGGTGCTAGTTTTCTCAAGGGAAATTTGTCAATATGCATCAAAAGTTTAAAACGTATACATAATTTTCACAGCAAAACTGTATCTTTAAAATTTTACCTCAAGGATATGTTTTAAGTTGCTTCTGAGTTGTGGGATATGAGTACATCACTTCCTGGGTATGTTTTTATGTATTTTCCCAATTTTTTGCAATAAATATAGATTTTAATTTAAAAAGGGAAACAAATGTTATGGGGGAATAATTTCCTACTGATTCACTTTTTTGAACTGCAAAACCTCATGCAAACAAATAATCTCCTTGCCAATGTGGTACTTTCTTCCCCTCACCTCTGGAATCATGTATTAACAGTTTGAAGAATTTAAAAGCAGACAGACTTTGAAAAAGGAAAACGGATGCTGACTTTGAGATAGCTGGCAATAGCAAGATTAGAAAAGAAACAAAAATATCTTGAGGAAAAAAATCTTTCCTATATATACATTTAAAAATGAGAAATCAAATACCTTGATGCAGTCTATTAGCCAAACTAAGGCTGCCACAATGTGAGGCCATGTATGAGGGGCCCCCACTGTATACATGGAGCTTTTGGATAATGCAAAAGGATACCTATGAAAAATTAGAAAAAAATAAGCTAACTTAATATGTTAATTTTATAAAAATAAACAAGAAATTACATTAAAAAACTTCCACGTATATACCAACAGTCTTGACTTATTTAGAAGATATTTTTTGAGATTCTGTCCTTAGTCATCTTACTCTCAAATGATTTTGTGTATTTTTTGCTTTCTTTCCTGCAGATTACTGTGTATATATGACCCCTAAGCTGCAGAACTTGATTACAACCAATATGTTAGACATCTCTCCTAAAGATTGTTTGTTCCTCAAATTAAATGTACCTCAAACAAACCACATGCACGCAACTCCTCATGCTCAAATCCATTCTTCCCCCATGCTTACTTTACACGCCCCTTTTTGACTTCATCTCACCCCATTTTCATCAGGACTTCAATCCTGTCTTTTTTGCTTCTATGAAATCTGTGGTATCGACCCCATCCTTTCTATGCCTTGTCACTTCAGTAGTTGAGGGCCTTATGATCTATCATCTGTAGTTTGGTAATAGCTTCCAGTCGTTCAATTTATCCTACATGTTTCCCACAGCGACCATCTTAAAATACATTATTTCTCTAACTCAATATCTTTACAAATTTATTGAGTTTGATTCCGCTCTGTGTTCCAACATTCTGTCTAGGCTAGTAAGAAATATAATATACAAACCCAAGCCCTTTAAAGATTCTTGGAACCTCTTCTTCAAACTTTGTGTCAGGAAATTCATATGAAGGGCACAGGAAGCCATAAAGAAAAGTGAAGATCTTTAGGAAGTCTTTAACAGAAGGCGCTTGTAGAGATTTCATGGACACACTATATGCATAACCATTTTCTGTAAGAAACTAATATCAAACATTTTATAATAGAAAAATTGTTGGAAAATACTTAAGAAAACACTCACAATTTAGACTATTTAAAATTATAAAATACCTCACAGAGTAGACGAATACACTGCTGAATGAATGCTTTGTCATTAAGTGGTCTTGGGTCTTTGATTTTTTCAGAACAGGAAAATATACCAAATTGACTGTTCCGGGATCCAGGTCCACTAGTTCTGGAAACATTTTTAAAAAGCAGTCAAAACTATTTCCTTCCATGGTCAAGTATAAATTATTTCAAGGCAATTTTATATTTTAACATCAGCATCAAACATAAAGCTCAACAATTCTTTAATTTTTATTTAACTAAACAGAATTCTCTTATTCAAAGTATAGAAAAGAAAGCAAATAATGAAAAGTATAAAATGAGGCAGGAAGAAAAATACATTTCTGGTGCTTTGTATTACTAACACAATAAACTTTGTTTAAATCTTTATAATGGTTTCTTTTGCCTACCAATGGGGTCCAATTTAGCTCACCATTGTAGTTTATTAAATATCCTCAGAACAATAATTTTCCTTATTGGACAGATGCCAAAAAAGTAAGTTATAGTCAGCCTTTCATATCTGTGGGTTCCACATCCATGGATTAAACCAACCATGGATAAAAATGTTAACTAAAAAAAGTTATGTTGTTGTTGACATGTCCGATAGAGTAAGGCCTACAATGGTTGTGTCTGTACTGAACATGTACAGACTTTTTTCTTGTCACTGTCCCCCAAACAATACATTATAACAACAATTTAGACAGCATTTACATTGTATTAGGTATTGTAAGTAATGTAGAATGATTTAAAGCATATGGGAGGATGCACATAGGTGAGATATGCAAATACTATGTAATTTTATATAAGGTACTTGAGCATATTTGAATTTTGGTATCTGTAGGGCGTCTTGTAACTAACACCTAGGGATGGCTGTGCAATGAACATTGCTATAATATCTGAACTCTGTTATCAAAACTTCATTTCTCCCTGCAAGTTTGCTTGCTGTTTTCAAGTTCTTTCTTGCCCAGGCTCTAAAAATTTTTCAGCTTGAGCCTTTTAACTCCACTGCCCTCATTAATTAACTAATTTTTTTCCTTGATAATTTGCTAATTTGAAAATCTCTTTTCTTCATACTGCTATTGCTTAACTTTTAATATTTTCTTTACTATAAAAGGAATGCTCAGCTCTTATTCTATACAAAACTACACTAATAGGTATCTTTTTAAATTATAAGAGAATTTCCCAATCAACCAAAATATTGTATCATTCAACTTATAGTTTAAGAGCATAGGATCTAGACAGAGTCTGTGGTTTCAAATTCTGTCTCTGTTGCTAGTTGTACTCGTATGACCTTAGGTAAATTACTTAACCTGTCTGTGCTTCAATTTCTTTATAATGGAGGGGCCAGCTGAGTGGCTTAGTTGGTTAAGTGTTAGCTTAAGAGTGCGAGCTCTGAGCAACAGGGCCACCGGTTCGATTCCCACATGGGCCAATGACACTGCACCTGAGCTGAGCTGCCGCTGAGCTGGATGGCTCAGCTGGTGGATAGAGCATGCGCTATTAACAACAAGGTTGCCGGTTCAACACCCACATGGGATGGTGGCTATGTCCATCCGCAACTAAGACTGAACTCAGCACCTTGAACTGAGCTGCCGCCCCGATGGCTCAGTGGATAAAGTGCGCACTCTTAACAACAAGACTGCCGGGTTCGACTCCCGCATGGGATGGTGGCTACGCTTACCCACAACTAAGAATGTAACACAGCACCTTGAGCTTAGAGGCTGGTGCCCTCCACAACTAAGATTGAAGAACAACAACTTGGCTGGTCCCCCTCCCCAATTTCCCAATACTGTTCCCCTCCCCCAATTCCTAAATAAAAAAAAAAATAAAAATAAAATAAAATGGAGACAATAACAGTATCTACTCATAGGGCAGGCCCGAGGATTGATTAAAAGAGCAAATATAAATAAAGCACTTAAAACAATGTCTGGTTTATAAAAATGTTCTGCAAATGTTAGATTTCATAATTATCATTATCTCTGAAGTTCAGCTGAGATGAAAGTTACATTACAAAAATGCCTTAAGATTTTTCATCAAATGAAATGACTACCAGAAACAATTTACTTGATTTCATAGAAAAGACTTTTCATAAGTAACAAATATTTAACCTCTACATATTTTCAGAATAGTTAAACAAACACATTTGTCTTAAAACAAAGTTATATTTTGTTTTGGTGAGATGAGTTTATTTTCTCAATTTTACGGTTGAACATTTCTTTAAAAAATATCAACTTTACTGAGGTACAATTTACTTAGAACAAAATGCACTTGTTTATAAAGTGTACAGTTTGATGAGGTTTTGACAACGCATACACCTGTGTAATCTCTATCACAATAAGATATTGAACATTTCCATCATCCCCAAAGTTTTATATCCCTTAACAGTCAATCCTGCCCCACCTCCAGCCCAGGCAACCAATGATTTACTATAGACAATGGTTCTCAAAGTGTGATCTCAGAGATCTGAGAATTCAAAACTACTTTCATAAAAAACTAAGATATTTCCCCCATCATTTTCATGAGTGTACAGTACAGTGAAGTTTCCCAAAGGCTATATGATGCATGATACTATAAGAGATTGAATATAGAGATATGAGACTCTAGCTATCTTCTACTAAGCCGACATTAATGAGATTTGCAAAAATGTAAAACGACACTCTTACTATTAAAATAGTTTTGTTTTAAAATTAAAAAAAATTATAAGCATGCTATTTATGTTAACATGTAATGGTTGTTATTTTAATTTGAATCAACACATATTTTAAAGTTTTCTCAGTTTTGATTTGTAATATGGTTAATAGCAATAGATACAGCCCACAAAATAGAAGCTCTGGAGTCCTTAATATTCATTTAAGTGTATAAAAGAAGTCTGGGACTAAAATGTTGAACTAGATGACAGTTCCTTCTAATTTTAAATGCTAGGATTCCACAGTATCTGAAAGTTAGGTATAGAATTTTCAATTAGCTATTCACTTGTAATAATGAAGTAGTGGTCTAAATGCGCTGATATATTTCTTAGCATCACCGAAGGCAGATATAACGATTTTAACCATTTAAAACAGAAGAAAAATAGATTATAACTTTCTTTTGAAAGGGACCATGCCATTTAATTTTTTGTACTCTGTGAGCATTTAGCCCAATGCATGGCTTTAAGAATCTCTTCATTAGAACTAATAAAAAAGATCATTACCTTTTACCATATACAGAGACTTTTCTTTCAGATGTGGGTTTGTTTATATTCAACTTTCCAAAGGCTGGTTTCTCTTTGCTTTAAGAAAAGGAGAAAAACAAAGTCTTTAAAACAAATATAAAAAATATTAATTCAAGAAAGTTTTGGAAACATGTTGGAACCAACATTTCTTCCCTATTACCTATAAAATAATTCAAAACTATGAAAACTTTTAGCAGCAATCCTGACTGTTATAAATGGAATAGACTAACATGATATTAAGTTATAATGCTAAAATATTAAGAAGAAAGTCAAAAAACACATATCTACATTATAATTTCAATTATCTTAAAATATGGGCATTTATGGATTACAACTTTAAAGGAAAAGAAAAAAAAACTTAAAAATAGACATTTTCAATCATAGGATAGTTACATTCAAATTTTTTCTTTTAAGGCTAAGTCTTGATCAGAACACAGTTAAACCTAAAAACATATATTATCTAAATTACAGACCAAAAACACTGACTGACAATCGTAGCCTTTTGCTTCTAATACAATTCAAGACAAATCTTTTGGTATATGTAATGTGCAACAGTACAAAAATTCTACTGATTTCAGAAGAAAAAAATATATAAATATTTCAAACTTCTAAAAGCAGCAGAGGCTCATACCAGGCGTATGTAAACCTAAGTAATTTAAGAACAGCAAGTAACTTGTACTTTGTGTTAAACAAAAATTTTAACTTCCAGGACTAAGTCTTTTTTTTTATTATTTAAAAAAATTTTTTTTAGCTGAGCCATCCTGCCACCTGTTGGCAGCTCAGTGGCAACTCAGCTCGGGCCGAGAATAGAACCACTGTTGCTCAGAGCTTACACTCTTGAGCAAGCTCTTAACCAGCTGAGCCACTCGGCTGACCTTCTAAGTCTTTTTTAAAAGAAAGCCATTGCTACCAAGAAAGACCAGGTCCTGGGGCATGAAGTCTGAACCACCAGCAGTAGCTGTGCAGAAAGGACAAACATGTCTGATATCCTGGAGTTGTTAAGCGTTTTTATATTGTACATCATGGGGGGGTGGGGGGAGCGGGGAGAAGGGGAGATGTAAGCTGTCCTGACAGAATTTCTATTAGCTATAGACAAAGCGGGCGGGAGAAGCTGAAGTGGGGCCAGCTCTGGGATAGGTACAGAGTCAGGAAGGAAGAAGTGTCCACTCCTGTAGATTGGCTGTGGGCAGAAGATTGGAAAGTTCATATGTAAATAACAAGTAGAGGCTCCTGGGGTTTGATGGCACCTGGCCATACTCTCTTTTGGATATTCACAGAAACGGCCACCTGGAAATTAATCTTAAATTCCAACAGATGTACAGAAATGTGAGCAATCTTTTTTCAGAGCTGGACCACAGCTTTTAACAGGCTGTAAGCTGTAATTTTAATTTAGAACATTTCAGAATTTTTTTTGT